TTATTAAATAGAATCATATTTCTTTTTGTCAAAACTCAATTTCGGAACCTTTATTGAATCATTTAAATTTCCAAATGCTGGAGTCTGCAATAGTTACTAAATATGACGGATGATTATATGCTTAATTGATAGCCAGGTACTTGATTTACTTGTTGATAAGCGAGATCTATCATTGATAATCCTTCTGACCTTCACATACTCATTTTTATGTATGCGAAGACATGCCTGTTTTATAATTAAATCGGATCAGTCAAATATTCCTTTTTAAGCGGGTTTTCAATAAATGAAATTTATTTATTTTTCACATATATCCCCAACATTATTTTATTCTTTCTTAATCTTAATATCCACAGACTTATGACTCTATCTCAAATGAGCTTATTGCAGACTTTCCACTCGCCAGTTTACAGCGGATCATTGATCGCACTGGTTTCGGCCTTCATGAGCCTTGCGATATTCGATTAGCCGATGCTCCGGTATCGGGCGATGCGATGGCCACCATATCAGAATCTTTCCAAAACAACACCAACCTCGCATCGGATACGACTATTTGCGCAGTTGCTAGCGTTGAAAATCTAGAGGCTTCTGTCTCGACATCTGCTATACTAGGCTTTGAACGTTCTATTGACGCCGTTACTAGCGCATGGGATAATGCGCCTGTCTGCGAAGTAATAACTCCAGTAGACGTAAATAGTAGAAAAAGCAGTCCTGAGGTCTCAACAGCCACCGAAGAAGATATTGAAAAGGTTACTCAATTTCGAGGGGTAAGGCTAGAAGAGTGTCTGGAAAAAAATTCTGTTAAATCTACAGAGGAGCTGAGCCTTTTGGAATTGCAGCAAGAACAACGCGTACAAGACTTTTTTATAGTTCTGGCCCTCTGCAATACCACAGTGATATCGGTCAACAAGAATAATCCTACTCCAGTGAGCTGTAGTATATAAATATTTTCCATTATTATTTAATAGCTTATTCTTATTCTGCATTTATCTTTAGATTTGCCCTTCGCTTTCTTAGTGGCATTTTTCTACTATTCAACTTAGTAATATTGTGGTCATAACACAGTAAATTGTTAAAGTACCTATTAGCGCCTTATTTTGTTATACATTTCTAGTGGATATGATGTTTAATGGGCATACTTTTATCTTGCAATCTTTGTTGCCAATTTGGGATTATAAAAGCTGAACAAAGTTGGGGAAGTAGTTCGCTAAGGCATTAACTCTTTCCTAAATACTCTATTTTTTCTAACTTATGTCATTTGATCCTTGGCTTTAAACTTTCATAAAAATTTAGTGGCTGTCGAATGGTCCTTAAAATTCATATTTCTCGCTATATCGCCGTCAGAATTCCCGTAACCTGTCTTTATTGGTTAACATGGACATGATTTAAAGTCGAATTTGATTGGTTAAGCACTATGCATCTGTAGGGAACTAGAAGAATATAAAGCCAATATATCTAGTAATGTTAGCTTCGCCTTCTATTTTTCAGGTATAAATCCCGAGCTTTCTTATTGCAATAGGACTAAAAATGCTTATTACTTTCC